CGAAGAGATATTCCAGCTACTATAAAAATGCATGGTCCCTTTGTTTATATAAAACACATATCATCAAGGAAAACCTTCAAAATCAGTCCAAAATGATTCTAGGCTTTCTTCACTCTAATGTATTTGTAATCCAGAAGAAGCAAAAAAGAAGGCGAACACGGTGAAATTTTACAATGCCAAGAAATTTAGAGTAGACATTATTGATCAAATGGCCAAGAAATATAGTGTCAAAGCACCTTCTCGTCGTTGGTATGTTGGACAAGTGTTTTTGGATTTGGCAGCAAGTTATTCTTGAATTTTGAAAAAAAAAACTATCAAGAAAAAAACCGTAGGAAAAAGTTAATTCTTGACTTGGTCAGGGAGTTAGTCGGCCAAGATACCCACTTCCAGATGACACCATCTACTTCACAGCCCGATTATAGCATACCCCAAGAGCCAAAAGAAGAACGAAGTGGAAAAAGAAAAAGGTAGAAACAAAACCAATAAATCTTGTATTAGTTGTAAAAAGCCTTGTGTTGTGTGGCTCTTGTAATGTAAGCAAGAAGCTGAAACGTCAAAAATGTGCCAAAAAATTTGATTTTTTTTATTACCTTATAGATGTTTAATTATTCTAGGTTCTTTTATTTACTATAATATGTTAATCTATAACACTTAAAACCATAATACATGAATAAAACATTACAATCCATAAATGAGTCATTTGACCCCTCTTGGTCTTTATAGGTAGTTCAAAATTTCGGTCTTCCTAGTGTTAAGTGTCATTTTTTTAATGTTTAATTATAATAACAAGGTGAAACATAACTATTGTGATTTGCGTCTCTTTCTTCTACGTGATCGTTTACCGTGTTGTCCAAAGGTGATGACTTTTAATAAAATAATTTACGTAAGTACTTTCCATTATTGTGTATGTGTGTCCAAACTGTTTACTAAATACTATTCATTAATATTCGTTTCATTTTTAACGTCGCACACATACAATACTTCGATTTATAAATATCAGTACCTCTTTTCTTCTTCTTTTCATTTCATCATTGTCCTCATCAGCCTACTGTTGGGCAAAGGCCTCTTCCCACGTGGAGAAGGTTTGAGCGTTAATAATCTGATTTGTGATATCTTAATCTCTAAATTATAAGTCCAGGTTTCCTCGCGATGTTTCCCATCACTGTTTATCAGTGGTGTATACACTAAGAAAGTACATGCAAATTATACAAAATCACATTGAATTTTGCTAGGTTTGGCCTTAAACCTTATGAAAATCAGGAGCCTTAAGTTTCGGGCTACCATGACCATGGTTTTTTCTTACGCTTCATTTACGCTTTTAAGTTATGTACAATTACATTTTCGAATAATAATTACACACCTACATCCACTTTTATTTGCATCATCCTTTTTTATAACCAATGACATACAATCCTTTACATAAACATCTCTATACAACTTTGTGTTATTTACTTACCATTTTAAAATTTCATTTTACTTTCAAATTTTGTTTCTCTCTTCATACTAAGTTTGGTGTTGGTATCCTTCTTTTCAATTCCTCTTTATGTTTATTTTTTTAATGACGACTAAATTCTTTTGTATTATTTTAGGGTCAACACATACGACCAGGTCTCCCCACAGACTCCATTCGGTGGATTCAAGGAATCTGGCATTGGAAGGGAATTGTAAGTAGTCGTATTACTACTATTGTAATCTTAAGCTTTAATATTATATTAATTTTTCTATATTCAAACTTTAGTTTGAATGAAAATTAAATAGCATAACAATCTTATGCAGCAGATTATTACACGACTGCCCAATAAAAGGAGGGTTTTCTTCCTTTATAGTATAACTTTATTTATGACATCGCAATTTTATCATTTTTCAGGGGTGAAGATGGTATCTTACAATACTTGGAGACCAAAACTGTTTCCTTCAGCCTACCTAAGAAGCCTCAACTGTAAACTGAAGAAAATTACCGAACCAAATATATTTGTGTACTCTGAAAAATCTTGTGTTCATAAATTTATTATTCTAAACATAATGTAATATTTTATACTACGCTTATCTAAAGAATTATAATTACATATTTTGTAATCATTATTTCGTTTTATTTTCTAAAGTAAATATGGTTAGACTATTTATGTTTGGATCAAAACTGTACTTAGTTTTTTTGTGTCTTTTAATGTATATGTTTGCGACAAACGGCAACTCCATAGAAGTTACGAGTGCAATGCCCGCCCTTCAGCATTAGGGTTTTGGGGATCGAAGAATTCGGTAGGGACAGGGGGAGAGGAGAATTGTATTAAATAGTAATAATTTATTATTAAAATCTCTTGAAATATAAATCCCATCTTTTTCAGGGTTAACACTTACGAACATGTGACACCTCAGACTCCCTTCGGTGGATTCAAGGAATCCGGAATCGGTCGCGAATTGTAAGTAAAAAAAATACCTATTTTTGTAAATTTTAAATCAGTTCTCATTATTATTAGGTACAAAGACATTTATAGTTTTAAAGTGAACACAACCATCTGCTGTGGGTTTTAAAGTACTCTATAGTTATTCTTTTTTGTGGGTGGCGCTGGTGATTTATTTTCATCCAGGTCAACCGTGTAATAGTCTAAATTGATATTTTTTCTTGTAAAAATATTTTCTGAAAATGTATTTATCAACACGAGAATTACACAGTGCCAGAGTTTTGCATAATTCATTGTATGAAAATCAAAAGTCAAAGTTAAATTATTTATTTCAATAAGACCATAGGCACCTTTAAACATCAAACAAATATTTAATGATACATTTTTAAAATGTCTGTCGGTCAGACGTTATGAAGTTACTCGCTTCATTTCGTTTCATTTCATTATTACTTGATTCCATTATGTGAGAAATGTGTAACACTAATATTTAGCTAAAGAACCAGAAAAGTCATGTGTCAATTTATATTATTTATAATATTTATATTTCATTCGATATTTAAATTGCTATTATTTTCCACAGGGGTGAGGACGGTATCCTGCAATACTTGGAAAACAAGACAGTCTCCTTCAGCCTCCCAAAGAAACCTCAGCTTTAAACCAATGGAACTCCAAAATCCCACCAAAATGGGTACATTAAAACCTACTACTAATTTTATGTACCAAAAACTATATACCTGTTATTGATTAATTTGTAAAATGAAATACAAAACAATCAATTTATTTTTTTAAGTAATTTTGTTTTATTTTTATTTAACTCTATCTTGTATTTATCTAAACTAAAAAACTATTCTTAACCATCTTTAAATTAAATATATATATAACGCACAATTCCAAATTCTGTGTTAGGTATAGAGGATTTAATTTTACAAATAATAACCTTTCGTGTGTTTTAGACGTGTATTCACGCGAGACACACTGTATTTTTACTGTCTTATTAAATGCAGACTTAAACGAGTAAAAATATTATAAATCATACTCAAGGCTACCATAGTAACAAAACTGAAATTACTCGATCGACAATCAATATACCTATATACCTACTAAGCATAAAAAATTGACAATTTTAAATGTCAAAGATTTTTCAAACTACTCAACGCCCTTCCTGTATTTAAGTACCTAAGTACCTTTTCAATGTTAAACAGATGTCCAATTATCCCTCTGTGCTTATCTTTCATCTTTTAATAGCTATTTACAGTTAATTTCAAAGCACCCAACCATAAAATACAAATAACAACAAATTCATATTTAAGTTTTGATAGAAGATTAATTTTTATACTATTTTGCTGTGCGTACGTACTTAATTCTATCGAACAGTCCAAACCGACGCCATGGTTAAATATAGTACCAGTATTATTTTTATTTCCATAGCTTTACTAGTTACAACTTCTGTTGTGGATTATGTAAGTTATTAATTACTCTATTTTCTTTTATTGTAAATTGCAAAGGATTAAATACACATATCCTCCTTTTTGGAAGTGTTATTGATTGTATAGTCTGCACCGTTATTTGGTGTACAGGTAGGGAATGAAATAGTGATTCAGTAAAGACACAGTATACATTTTTCAGCTACTCAATTGACCAACGGCTACAAAAGATTATAGCTTATATACGTAGTATAACAAAAGCTACAGTCAATATTGTTTTTCTTATCTGCATACCAAATAACTGTACAAACTGTATTTGCACCAAAATTATAAAGAGGTCAAAGAGCCAGACCCTGCTTCGCTCGAAAATATGATTAATTTTCGAGAAAATAAATGGTTCAATTCCGAGAAATTGTAAAATGTTGTTTAAAAACAACTAAAGTACCGACCTTTTTTTATCTGACAGGTCGTCAAACGAGCACATGGATTACCTGATGATAAGCAATCAGCGCCGCCCATAGATACCCACAACAACAGAAGAGTTAGGAGTGCGTTGCCGACCTTTTGGGCATTAGGGATTTGGAGATTTAGGGATTAGGGAAGGGAAAGGATTGGACCTCCCCATAACATGGCGAAACACAACTCTGTGGTTCTTTCACGTCGGTTTTCTGTGATTTATAATAAAAGCTCATATATAACACTTAGTGAGTGTTATACAAAAAGTCCATAATGTCACTGTTTCGTGTCATTCTATAATGCAATTTTTACACAATATATTTTCATCATGTCATCATTCAGCTTACTCACGTAATAATTTGACGAGATACTCGACTAGTTTCAAGCCATGCTAGAGGCCCATATTCATGAGCAGCATTCCGCCACACGCGATTCGGCGACTGTCGCGCGAGTGAGAGAGAAACTAGTCGAGTACCTATCTCGTCAAATTATTACGTGAGTAAGCCGAAAACATAATAATTAATTAAGAGTTCTCACGAAAGTTATAATAAAAATTTGTCATCATTCATGTAAACATGTCAAATAATTCCAGGGAGAATTTGATTTAAAAGTGGTAAGCTACGAAGTATGTAAAGCGCCTAAGAAAATAAACTGTTGTGACGTCACAGCGTATACATATGACAATATCTGGATAAAATATGACGTCATAACTAAAGAAAATATGACTGCAATCAAAGTAAGTATTGGGCTTCTTTTTCTAGAAAAAAAATTAAAATGAAAAGGAAGAAAGGGCAGCCAGTTGCCCAATCACCGCGCCAGCCGTGCAGTCAAAAGTTTGAACTACGGATCGAAATACACGACAATAGGTCCAAAAAGAACGAGTTTGGCTTTTATTATCATCATTTATATTTAAGTATCAGACAGGCCAATACATTCATTCTACTTTTTAAGGGTGAATTGGAGAAACGCGAATGTTTGTTAGTATGGATTATTTTTTCTTACTTTTTTAATTAATCCAGGCAGTATCAAATAATCCAGTCAATATTATGTCCGATATCGACAGGACTGACATGGATGGAAAATATCGACGACAATAATCAATGGATAAAGTAGAGTAGTAGACTACATCGCGCAAGTGAATTAAATATGAATAGAAAATCCCAAATGTAGGAAGAAGCCAGTTAGGTATGATCACCTCGCGTGGTCAAAGGATCATCTTTTTACCCGACTACGGCAAAGTAAAAGGAGGGTTATGATTTGGACAGGCTATGAACATATGTATGTATGTATGTATGTTCATCTGTTCCCTCGTAACTTCTAAACTACTTATCAGAATTTGACATATGGCATATCAATAGAAACGTCTTAATTGTCCGCTGGTTATACACGTTACATTTACTTACCATACCTGCACTTTGATAACGTGTGACTACGCCTTTCAGTATTCTGAAAATCTTGTTTTATACTTTTTCAGCGTCGGTTTTTGTCGTAGTTGGGTTTTAGTTTTTATACCTTTTATTATTCCGGTCTTAGAGAACTACTCACCAAATAACTTTAAATTGGCCGTTAATAACTTTGAAAAAGTAAACATCAGCCGAACAGATCAGAATACTTAAATATAAATTCTTGTAGGTTTTTTTATAAAATCAAAAAATCTTTTTCAGGCTCTATTTGTCGGTTCACTAAACAATAAGGAATTGATCAGATTTCGTGTGAACGACATGTGTACGCACATCTTCTTCAAGCCTCTGGTATTGGCTGCATTTAATTTGACTGACAGCTGCGGTGTGTTCAAAGTAAGTGTTATAAAAATGTAAAACGTTTAAAGAAAAAAAGTGTTTGAGAATCTTGCTTCGGCATGAATTTGTCAGTTCGACCGAAGAGTGACATCAACTTTCGCGTTTCATCTTAACAACATTATATTTACGCGGGTATTAACGCGGAAAATTCAGTCTGCTTGTGACCACGACCTGTGCAACCGGGTCGAAACGTCAAGCCTACCAAGGTATTCAAATTATAATTTTCCGCGTTAATACCCGCGTAAATATAAATTGTTGATGTTATTATTCTATCACGTAAAAAATACAGAATAAACATTGATGAATATAGATAGAGATAGATTATAGCTTGAAATAATACATAATCTACTTTTCAATTGAGTAATACGGGTGAAGCACCTGACAGAAGCTAATTTAAATTAATTTTAAACAATTTTAAACTTCTTTCAGGGACACCATGCATTCCGCATAGATGTTCGAGCGACAACCCGAAATCTTTATGGTGGCAAATTCATGTATGGGAATTGGTCTTACAAAGTCTCGTTTTTCAATGACCAATGTAACTTACACTGTGGCATTATGCGGTTAGCTGTATTTCCAAAGAAAAAGATTGAAGCATTGTTTTAAGTCATCCCAGACATAGTCAGTCTTGTATGAAAAACTTAAACTCGCTTAGATTACAATCATTACAATCATTACATTTATTTATTTATTTATTTAAAAATCTTACCTTATACTACCATTACAGATTTCTCCAATGCGATAGCTTAGGCCTATATCTAAATCTAAGTAATTATTTACTAATTTAAACCAACATAACACAATCAAAAAGAAATCATACAACACCTTAATTATGAACTAAACTTTAGGATTAAAAACATACAAAGGAAAAAAAATAGGAAAAGACATTAGGTACCTGTCTTCTTAAACTAAAACCCAATGCAGATTAAATTGATTGAATTGATTGATTGAATTATGTTATGTTATAACTAACTTAATCAAAGAGTATGTAATTACTTAATCATTAAAAAACCTAACATTAATCTATAAAAGTAAATGACATAATACTGTCGACACTATAGTCACGAGATCAGCATGTAAGTTTCAAGACATCAAGCGCTGAACATAAGCGCTTAAGCGCCTAACGTACAACTTTATGGCAGAAACCCGCTAGGTATTATCAGGATCCTCCTTCTCCGATTGTCGGGAACTTCACGCTGGCCGCTAGTCCCTAATAACTTTAAGTTGGCCGCTAATTACTGTGAATTTCGAAATAGTAAACCTCAACCTATAAAATAGACTCGCTAAGATTTTAATCATCATCATACATATCAGCTTCAAGTCATACAGCACTGAACATATGTTACCATCAATGACTTCTAGATCAACCGATTGGAGACAACCTGCATCCAGTGGCTCCCTACGACCTTTATCAGACTTTTTATCCACCTTAATAGTTTTAAATAAATCTAATTTTCAATTTAAGAGTAGTTTTTTTTAATTTTAACAATATAAGTACTACAAGCAAAAAACCTGAAGTATGGTGATTGATGAAAAACAAGACATCATTTAATAAAACTGATAGAAATTTAAAAAATCTATGTCTTGTATAAATACAGATAGTTTTAGCCAAATGTAGATGTAGCCCAGAAGTTTCACGATGCTTGGACATCATAAGCGCAGGTCTGAGGACGGCGAGCAATGGTAGGTCACCGCCTGAGCAGAACCTGAAGGTAAGGCGCGTAACATTTTGCGTGCGCCTCGACGAGCAGTAGAAGAAACATGGCGAATTTCCCCAAAAAAGAAATCCCAGGTGTGTTCAAAGAACTAAACATCGCAACTAAAAATTGCCAGCCGCATTCTTAGCAACTTTGCTTTTTGCCCTAAACAATCATGCCAACACGATTTGAGTTATCGATTTAGAAATACTCAAAAGATTATAAAAAAATCAAGCTGAAATGATTTGTAAAATTATGCAGATCTCTTATTTCAAACTACCAAAATTCAATAAAAGTATAGATAACCTAACGGGATACAGGTAATTCATCCCACTATTCAAAAATAGTGACACTAAAGAATCAAATAACTATAGGTAGTCCAGTATCAGATCTGCCTCAATCAGGTTGAAAAGTAAATGCTATTTCGCATCATGATTCATCATTTTATTAAATACTCTATCTTACAAACGGTTTGTGTCATTCTATATTTTTAACCGACTTCAAAAAAAGGAGGAGGTTCTCAATTCGATTATATTTTTTTTTTTTTTTAATTTTTATTTTTTATGTTTGTTACCTCAGAACTCCGTCGTTTATGGACGGATTTGCAAAATTTTTTTTATGATTGAAAGGATATGCTTCCAGATTGGTCCCATTCTTTTCAAAATCGTCGTCCGCATCGTCGCTTTCCATCAGGTGAGATAGCGGTCAAGCGCGAACCTATAATCAATAAAAAAAAAAAAAAAAAAAATCAAGTTTTGATGATGGGATCCATGAGAAATCGAGGGAACTCCTCAAATATTATAGGCAACTATATAGTAATTTTAATATTTTCATAGAGCACTCAAGCATTTACAGTCAAAAAGTAATGTTTGATGAGGTGGAACTGGTGAAGAAGATCAGAAATGGATGATGAAACTTGACACTCGCATAGATATCACAATCAAGGTAGTTCAGCAACTATGAAAATGCACTGTAAACCAATGATCTTAAATAATTATGTTGGAAATGTTATCATCGAACTGATTTAATGATGATTATGGAGCTGGAAGGTAGGCACTGGAACTGCGTACCTAATTAATATATCCTAGCCGTGTTTGGGCTTGTTAGAATTGTTATAAGATGCACTTTGGCTGTAAGGTACTATTGAACTGATGTGATGATGAAGCTGGAAGGTTGGCATGGGGCCTAGTATTGTGTAAGCTTATTAGAGCTGTCAAGAGCAATGGAAAGGGCTATGCTCATAGTTTCCGTGCATGTTCGAATCAGAAATGAAGAAATCCGCAGAAGAACCAGCGTCACCGACATAGCCCGAAGAAATGCCAAACTTAAGTGACAGTGGGCACGGCACATTGCTCGTAGAACAGATGGCCGATGGGGCCGAAAGGTTCTAGAGCGGGACCGCACACCTTTGGGGGCGGAGTTTGGCCTAGTATTGGCTATTTTGCATTAGTCCACGTGGACTGCGTTTACACATTAGTGGTGAAATGCGTCATTGTGTTCTTATCGTTTTCCTGGTAATAGGCTAAGAGAATTAATTGGCATTTTTAACAAAACAGTCGTTTTAAATGGGTTACAAAACAATAATTGCGTCGTACAAAACAATAATTGTGTTTCTTTTGTGTGCACATATGTAGATAATACTTACTTAAAAAAGGTTCATACATTGAATGAGTCATAAATGTATATTTACAATAGCGATGGTCTTTTATATTTTTACCAACTTGTCTATATATGAATGTTCTTAGTAATAACAAAATAGTATTCTTCATTTAATGGGTTACAATTGATACAAAACAATAATTGCATCGGTCTTTTTTCTATGTACGAATGTATTTAATCATAGATACTAAATTAGATTGCATTTGGTATCTTTGAACTTTATCTGTCTGTTGATGAAAATATCTAGTTTTTTGTTATTTGGCGAGAACTAATATGAATTTATGATAAGATTATTATTTTATTTTAACTATAAGTCATAAGTATCTCATGCATCATATCATCTCTCCTCGAGATCAAAACGATTACACAGTAACAATGTACTATATAAAAAATAACAATTTGAATTACTGTAAAAAAACTTAATTTATAGGTAAACTTATTTGACATTAATATTTTGCAAATATTCAAAATTTATTACTTATTTTTGGAGTCGGTGCCAGCCCATGCAAGGAAATACAAATGGGCAACAATCCCTTGAAAAACTACCTCTTACTTAATTATAAAACTACTTAATACCTATTTGCATACTCAAATATAGGTATATTAATTAAGACATAAATACAGATTAGACTTCTCTACAAAAAATGTCCGATTTGCACATTATTTTAAATAAAAAATATGTACTTACAAAAACATTTTAAGTACATTGAAAATGTTTAAGCATTATGTACGAAAAATGGCACCGGATATTAAAAACCTAACTAACATTAAGTTTCAACATCAAAAAACTCCAAAAATAAGTAATAAATTTTGAATTTAAGTTTTTTTACAGTAATTCAAATTGTTATTTTTTACTTTTTAGTGTAGGAACTTTTATTGCTTGACTTTTTTTGAAGGCGGTTTTTTTATTTTGTAAAATTTTTTTTATGTTTAATATTGTGCATATTAGGTGCACCTCTGCCTAAACCTTCGCAGCATAAAGCGTGACGACTGAGTTTGAATCTCCTCAGCACCACCACCATACCAGAACCGGAGCAGGAGAAGGAATGGAGTGGGTTTAAGTAAGTCTCATACTCCTCCGCTTTCACTCCCCGCTTTCATCCCCGCCCAGCACTTGAGTAGTTGTTATATCATTTTCCGTCTCAAGAAATATAACATGTTACATTAATCCTATTGGTACCCTTATCCTATATTTCATTATTTCTATATCATCTGTTATTATGTTACAAAACCTTCAAATAAAAAACAAGCCTGATGTTATATCATTTGGAATGACCAAATCAGAGCTACTCTGATTTGAAACTAGATCTAGGAAGCTCATTGGCACTCAGCCATTAGGAACCAACAGACCGTGCTATGTATTAAACAATCCACCATTTTAAATGACATCTCGAACTAAAATAAATCTCTATTTAATTTAAAAACTGGTAGCCGACGTTATGTTAAGATATCTAGTGCTTATATCATTTTATTCCTCTATTGTTATTTCTAAATCCTCATTGGACTTCGTAAATAATATAGTAAGTAATTTTTCATTGCTCAATTTGCATCGGCGACTATCGAAATAAGGATTCGGATACTGGACGTGTAATATATTTCTGCAGATTTCACTATAAAATATTCCCAATGATAATTTAAAATGCTCTAACACTGCTGTTTTTTTTTTTAATTTTATCTTAAGTCACTATATAATGTAATATATTTCAAATACACAGTAATCAAAGGTATTTATATGATCGATAAGACGCTTGAACTTCTTTTTCTAAAAAATAAATCTAGCTATATTTGAGTTTCCGGGGTTGCGGGGCAAGCACAATAATATACTGTGGCTTCAGCCTAGAACAGGTGAAGGAACAAGGAGGTTTTTAGTCGGTACAGTCTGACACTCCCTCTAGCCTCACCCAGAGCGAAATAAACGATTTTATAAAAATAAAAAAATCCTGTTTCAAAAAATAAATCTAAATTGATTGTTTGTCCCCTTTAGAACAGGCTCAATGATATCAAATAAAAAAATCTCGGCATTAATATGACACAACAAGCGGTTATGTTGAAACTTTCTTGCAGGGCGAATTCGATATAAAAATTACAAAATATGAAGATTGTAATGGACCTAAACGGAAGACCTGTGTTAATTCGATTGTGAAAATTGTTAATGATGTTACCTTGGCCTTGGATTATAATATAACACAAAATATGAAGGCAGTTAAGGTAAGACGTTTGCGAATACATTTTTTTATTACAATTTTTTATCTTACTGTAGCGAAGTGAAAATACTTGGTGCATATGAAGAAATTATTCTACATAATCTTAATATAACAAAATTATTTTAGGTTTAATCAAAAATTATTCGGCTTGCCATGACACGATTTTCAGATAGTTTGGGAATCGACCATGTTTTCTATAATAAAATGAATTGATTCTTTTCAAATAAGTCATCACTTTTACACGTCAATATTCTAAAAAAAAGTAGATGAAGTCGGCATACCTATCTGACTATTCTGAGAAGAAATGCTGAAAAAAACCCAGAGACTCCTTAATAGCTAATTGAAAATTAGAACCCTTACCTTTCTTCCTTAAGTTCCTCCAAGTTTTCAAACAACTACTAAACCTGTTATACAATTCAATATCTTTTCAGGGAAAGATTACTGGATGGATGAACACAAACAATCCCTTACTACGAATTTCTATTAAAGACCTATGCGAGCATATATTTCTCAGAACCGTAATTATGACCACTTTAAACAGCCAAGACCATTGTGCAATTAATAAGGTAAGATTAAAAACCAATTCCTTGTTATGATAGTATTGGAAAATTGGCACTAAATTGAAAAGACCATGTCCTCACACGAAGAAGGTTTGATAATTAATCACCATGCTTGCTTAAGGCAGATTGGTGATTTCAAACTTATAGTTTGAAATTAACAGTACTCCAGGTTTCCTCACGATATTTTCCTTCACCATATGTCCATGGTGTCTAAATAAACTTGAATATAACATATGACTCAGAAAAGTCACATTGGTACTTGTCAGGTTTCGAGCCCGCCTCTGATGCATGAGAAGCAGGCAACTTAACCCTCCTATGACGTTGATGACTACTAGTTACTTGAACCCACACTATAATCACGATGGTTTACCTTTTTTCAGGGACGCTACCAATTCAGTGTGGATATTCAGAAGGTATCCCGCAATTTTTACGGGAGCAAGTTCATGTATGGGAATTGGACGTTCCAATGGAATTTCTACAGTGACGTCTGTAACATGCACTGTGGTTTGTTGTGTCTCTCGATGACTCCAACAAAGTCGAATGTTAATGTTTAATAAATTAATTAATCTATTTTTATTGTTTTTTTTCTTAACTATAACTATAAGTCGAAGGGGTAGGATTGGCAGTTGACACATAATAAATGTGGCTGATTCAATTATTTATTTATTTTTAAGTAGACACACATATAACATTACACGTTATGTCATAGGCACATAGTTACATAGAAAATCAAAGAAAATTAGACTAATACATTCATCACTCACTTTTCAAAAGTTGCGTTAAGGATATCCCATCCCATTTAATAAGGAGCATTATATTGTTATATGCTGGGCACAAATTGCATTCTCTGTGTTACTTAGACACAGACATTTTCGAATAAAGCACATTTTTATCCGTGCCCCTGGTAAACAGCGTTGCGTTTCCTCGATCAACTATATTGTTAATTAGATAAGATAATTTAAACTATGTTAAATGAATTGCATTCACTAAGGAACTGACGCTAAGAAGCAGCGCTCTCTGATAAACCTGAAAAACATCTCAATTCCCTTTCTTGCAATTTACTTGGATTTAATTCGAAACTCTTTTAGGAAAAGGATTACCATACACCAGCAGTTGATTGTCAGTACTGTTTGCGTTGTAATAAAAAACCTTAAATCATTCATTCATCATCATTGACAAACATTGTTGTTATGTGAAGAGGGGAAAAACATCAAATGACACTGGGTCCGACGAGAGGGGCTGTATGACTCTTACTGACTAAGAGCACCCCTTTCCTGTTTAACTCCGAGCTGGGCTCCAGTTCATTGCGCTTGACCTTCAACCCCGGCCGAGGAATGCCTAGTTAAAACCTTCTAGAAGCCCCATAGCACAAAGGGAGTAGTATACATTTCCTTATCTCTTTAATTCATTAGATCATCTCCGCAATTTAGCTCGACTAACAAGCATTGTATAAATAAATGCTCAGTTTCCAATAATTTATAGTAATCACACAAAAATTTTACCCTCCAACGAACCATTTAATAAGGTATGGGAGCGGTTAAGCAAAAATGTGCCGTAATTACCTACACCTATTTTATCCTTGTAAAATTTTACTTAGTTGTTCCACACATAGGAAACTTGCTTGAGGTCTCTAAAAGTACAAGATGTTCATACAATTGCTTATCCTGATCACAGTGTATACTATCCAAGTATCGACAAGCCCACAAAAAGAGTATGTAAGTTGATGTATTTCTTGAAGCATTTTCATAATATTTTGTTGTTGTGTTTCAAGTACTTGAAGACCACGTTTTTAGTAGAATTACAATCGCCTATTAATTCTGTAAATCAATTTAGTGCTGATACAAAGGCCAAAAAGGCAGTTGATGGCAATAAACTGATGATGATTATGACTCCTATTAAGATCTATAATAGAGATGAAAAAATTGTACTAAGCTTTATAGTTATAGTTCCTAGTTACTCTCCAAAGCATTTTTTATAATTTCCAGGGTACTTTCAATTTGATAATAACACAATTTGAGATTTGCAAAGGACCGAAGCAAAAGGATTGTGCGCATTCGACAGCTTCTATCAGCAATACTTCTACTTCTTTGATATATGAGGTAGACGTTTTACAGAATGTATCGCCGACTAAGGTAAAGATTTGTTTTTCTAAACCATGAAAGTCGTACATAAGTAGGTCTTTCACTTCAGCAACTTCGATTCAAAGGACCAACTTAATACAAAGGACCACAAAAATGTTAGAGACAGATAGATATTCAAGTGTGGGAGAGCCAAGCTTTGGCGCGAATGGGTCGAGTAATACCACGGCCTCACAGAAAACCGACGTGAAACAACCACAGCGTTGTATTTCACCGTGTGAGTGAGGTTACCGGAGGCCCAATACGGGAGGTATCTCCCCTTAGATATCCTTTAGGATATCTAAGGATTGGGAAGGGATGGGCTTTATGCCTAAAAGGCCGGCAACGGACTCGATAACAACTCTTTTGATGTTGCGGGTGTCCATGCGCAGCGCTGATTACTTACCATCAGGTAACCCTTCTGCTCTTTTACCATGAAAAAAAGATTATTATTACTATTGGTATTTCAAGAATACAATTTTTAAATAAAATTCACATAACCGAAGCATTGGAGTTTACACACCCAAAGCATTTACGAGCCCCTATCTCTACTTCTAGGGGAAAATTGTAGCAGTGACCAATGGCAAAGAGTTCCTCAGACTTCAAGTGAAGAAACCATGTGAGCATTTGTTCCTGAGACCTCTCTTCAGTTCCCTCATGAATGTAACTAAAGATTGCTTCGTCGTGAAAGTGAGTATTCTGTTGATAAACCTTTATATTATACCTATTTGGTCATGTTGGGAGAAAAGTGGTTGATACATTAAATATTTGCACTTAATTGAAGATCTTAAGTATGACGTGTAGACATATCACAGAACATCACACTTATTTGTGTAACGCGGCTATGTGCAGGTGGATTACCTGATGGTAAACAATCAGCGGGCATGGAAACCCGCAACACCAGATTAGCTGCAAGTGTATTGCCGGCCCGTTCGAAATAAGAGATGTTAGGGATTTAGGAATTGGGGAAGGATTGGATCTCCGATAACATCACTCACACGGCGAAACACAACGCCTGTTTTCTTTGAGGCCATACAATACTTTAAACTGTTCAGATATTATTTATTACCTATCAATAATGGGTTTTACCTCACACACAATTTTAAAAATTGTACCTAAATATAGTGTAGTAATTTGTACATATATTTTGTCAGTATTTATGATGACCTGTCTATGTTTTTTTCAGGGACACTACAAGTTCCACGTTGACATTCTGGGGATTGCTCAGTCGTATTTCGGTGGTACGTTTGTGTTTGGCAATTGGACATTCAAGTCGTTATTCTACAATGAAGCTTGCAATTTCTCTTGTGCAAATATACAAGTTATTTTGTCTCCGAAAAAAGAACACTAAACGCCAGGTAAAACTATACGATAAGTAGTTCATTCAGTTTATCTAGCAGCAGCAGCAAATATATTTTACTTGGACAAACTCGAAAGGCAAAATAGAGATTTTTTTATATTTCGCGGGTTAAATAGAAAAAAGACCTAACTCAAAAATGAGGATATTCCAAAATTGAACCTTATTATTGAAGCATATTTTTTAAGATTGAAATACTTTATCTTTTGAGTTAGGTCTCTTTTCTGTTTAACAAGCGATTTGTTAAATATGTAGCTTTGGAGACTTACGTAATACTTTATTGAAATAAAGTTAACAATTTAACAGAAAAAACTTATTTTATTTTCCTAATTAACAATAAATTACTTAAACAATAAAAAAGCGGCTTTGGATTTGTGTACGTACTACATAAAAATACCCTTCACTTTGCACCAGCTTGAAGCTGATGTAAGAATATACTGTCTGATTTCGTATCAGAATTCAGTCGAAGGGACAATCTTCGTTGTGTTCGAAGCTAACACAGTACATCCCTCGAGCCCTGAAAACAAAATGTATGTTGATTTTTTATTTAAAACTACAAAAAATATCCGTTTATTTACATGTGATTTACACTATACACAATTGTGTACAAATTAACCTCGTCCAATACAAGAGGTGGCAGCGTGCCTATTGCTATGTACTGTACATAATTCCAAAACCCAAGCTATCGTCCTATATATAAAAACTGTTCATTAATCTCACGAAAACTCTTAAACGGCTGGAAGGACTTGGTTAATTTTCGTCCTAAAAATATTCTTGATACCACAAAGAGTGTTTGAATTTGAATAAAAACATTTTCGACTTACGTATCAGGAACTTCTTCGCCAAGCACCACAGCTTTCCTATCGAATCGGATGCCCCAATGTCCTCGTTCCTTGGGACATGTGCTGTCACATGGTATACCGACCAGACGTCTTCTTTTCCTCACACTCGCCGAAAAGTAACATGCCGCCATGAAGTGACTGCAACGGGCTATTCCTGAGAATTTTCAGAGGAATCAGTCATATACTATTAAAGTGTTTCAAAGCAGATTAATTATTATGTTTAACGGGTTGATTACTATGTGTGAAGCTACACTTGCCAAGCGCAATATTGCTTATGAATAAGAGCCCCTAATGTGGCTTGAAACTAGTCGAATTTCTCGTCAAACAATTAGGTACGTTATTAAGCCGTTTAACATAACAAATAATGTAATATGTCGCACAAAAAATATAACACGTCAACATTACAAGATTAGCATAAATTAAACCAACAAATTATTATTACACATGTTATTAATTGGGTGCAAAAATGAAATATCAAAATATTACAAATTCGTTTTATCTATACTATCTAGACTAATATTAGAGAGGTAAAATTTGTAAGTTTGTATGTAGGGGGTAATCTTTGGAACCACTGGTCGGATTGCCAAAATTCTTTCACTGATATATAGTTACGATGTTTCTGAGTGCTATAGGCTAAAAAACATCACGCTACAATAAAATGGAGCTAAGCAACGGGTGAAACCGCGCAAGAGAAGCCAGTCCACTATATCGTGATAAAATTTCATTTTACGAATTTTATGAATTTAGTACTTATTTAGTTTGTGTAATTCAGATTCTTAGCTTCTAATAAGCTGTTAGTTATAGATTGACCGTACTATAAAAGCATGTAAAACCAATACTTACGCATAACATGTCCCTTGCAGCCAGGCTGTAACCTTCCACCATTGATACAGAAATCAGCATGGCCAACTTGACCATCTTCTCCAAGGAAACCGGCGTTAGTATGTAATACATGAACCACGTAGGCATCATCTCTGCCCAGCCTGAACTGACGAGATCCATACGCTGATACTAATGGTCTTCCTGGATCTAGACCTGGGAACAAAATGGAAGCAATTAAATATTGGAAGCATTTGGATGGATTTGCAAGTTCAAAATGTTTGAATAGCTACTATGCGCCAGATAAACTTCAATTTAGTACATATATAGTGGGTTTAAATTTTAAGAACAAACGAACAATACTCTGTTTTATTTCTTTGCGGGGTCCATTTATTCTAGAATTTGACTTTAAGGAGATGCATTGGTTTTGGGAGGTAATGGCGGATCATGCCCGTTATCTTCCAGGGGTTAAGCAGTTATTTTTGTAGTCCCATGTGATAGAGGTTGAGCTTGTTGTCATATGTCACAAATTTAGACTCTGAGCGTAGAGGAGAGTATTTTTCGAAAAACTCAAAAAACTTTACTGACTATTTCTGCACCCGGGAATCGAACCCGAAACCCTTTATTCGGTAGTCTCATTAACTATAAAACCAGATAAGTATGTTGCCTGAGTCTCGAGAGAATCGTAGAAAAAATACGATTATAATATTGATCAATCGAATATAACTGTTATTGAAGTTGGTACCTAAAACCAATGCCTTATGGTTTATTTCACTTTGCAGCGACTTTAACTATTCGAGTTTTGCTTCGGAGTTGCCATATGACAAATATTCCCACTTTAATGTGTTAAACTAGTGTTCTGGTCTACCGATCCAATATCTGTATTAAGTTACTAAAAACGACACGACCACGACAATTAATTATAAAGTCGATGCAAAAAAATGAAAACAAAGAATTATCACCATCATCCACCAGAACCAATCTTAATACGGTTTCTGATAGAAGAAAAGAAGATTAAAATAAATATTCATTATAAATAAATAATCTACTAAGATTATCAGTTAACCAAACTATAACATCAGACACTAGTTAAAATTGATAAAAAGGTTGTATACTAGTTTTTGTTTTCTAAAAACAAGTCGTTTTCTAATTCCATCCTGGCAACCCGATCAGTTTGCCCGAAGACGGCTTTGGGCTCACACGTGGGTACTGTGGATTTTATTTTGCTCCCATTTTAAACATAAATAATGGTGAAAGTAGACGTGAAATATACTAAGGTAAGTCGCAAAATTATTTTTTTAAATTGTTTATGTTTTGTTATGAATAAATAAGTGTTATATTACTTAATTTTAGTAAAATATCTATTAATAGAAGCTTCCGTTGCCGGCATTTTTATGTTTGTTGTGCATAAAGAATAAGCATGTATGTTTCAAATAGGCATATGGTTATATCAATCTCTTTAAAATAACATTAGTATATTACTTTCGTTATAAAATCAAGGTAATACAAAATTATTAATTAATAAATAGGTTGGTTATCTTTCTATATTTTGATACCAGCTGGTTGGTACTATCGCTACAAAAACAAAGTTCTCTTGACGACAACGTTGTGATAAAAACTTGTTATATTTAAAATTAGTAAGCTGCTATTACAAGCCTAGTGATGATAATAGAGTAGACTATTGCTTAAATCTTCACGCGGGTGCCGTAAGCTTACTAACTTTATGTATGGGAATATACTATATTTATGGGAATAATCATCAAATTACTTCTCCGGCCCTTCATGGGGCTGGACAGAATATCAGACTTTGACTGCCCAAAAACCACCTGTTCCTTTCCCGGCATCAGGCCGAGCCACATTATTGCGCTTGTTCTCGCATCCCCAGCTGATCCGGGCATCTATACTTAGAATATATCCCAGGATGTATAAAATATATTAATCCCAATTTAGCCCCGCCAAGCATGGACATTATGGGAAACGGTCAACAAAAAAAAACAATTTTGTTTGAAATGTTGTGTTAAATGAAAATATTTATAGAAATCATATTTATAGGTACATGTACATAATTTGTTAGTCGGTAATCTCTACGTTCGTTATTTACTATTTATTATATGTGTATAAAAACTATAGCTGCCCTTTTAAAAAAAGGACACAATTACGAGGAAAATTAAATTAAACAAAAATATTTAATAGGTTTTATGTCTTGTTATTATCATTTACAGTTAATGAATTCTATTATGCAATAAACAAATATTTATAGACAACGTCGTCTGTTATTGTCCAAAAGGATAAATAGAGATAGATACCTATGAATCATTTGATTTTATTCCACATTTCGCCGGTTTTCTTATTAATTTAGAGTCAAAGTCGAGCACAAACATTATGTCGATAGTACATACGGCTACGTATATAGCAATAATTAATTAATTAGCAAAATAATGCGTAACCGGTATGATACGTAATTTCTAAGGATACTTTGTGTAACCTAATCACTAGACCCAAGACCCAATGACATAACTAAACAAAGCATCAATGAAGATGCCTGAGAAATATATCCTAGATCAATTTTCTTGTAGATACTTTACTCCATAAACCAATTCACCTGAAACTTCTTTTGTACTTTGGTACTTTTAAACGAATAATTGCAACATTTTTGAAAAAGTCAATAACATCTATCAATGTCAGTATATCTATCAGTAGAATAAAATATAATTAAGAAGTAAAACGAGAAAACCAAAGAAGATGATAATAGCTGAAGTAAAATTTATAAAAGTAAGTCATTCACGCCCTTTACGTTCCTTGTAGGTTGTAATTTCCATTCGTTTATTTTATTTTTATAATAAACATGAAAGTTCTTTCTGCGTTATGCTTAAAAGAATCAGTTAATTATATTCGGGTTTTACACAAGTTACTCATTATGGTAATATTTTGGTTCACGGTAAATGTAGAGTCCAAGAAAGAGCATACAAAAATGCAAGTCACATTCATAGTTTTCTCTTTTGTTGCGTGTGCAAGCGTATATAACGCGGCATCAGCCCGGAACAGGAGAAGAATGGATGAAAAAGAAGTAAAGTCCCTCACGACACTCTCTCTCCCATTCCTACCATTCCCAAAAATGCCTCGTAATAGTTAAGAAGTTTGCACCTTAAACAATTCAAATATTTGTTGAATTGGCATAAGCGCAATGAGGCACCGCGACCTCGGCCTGAGCAGGAGAAGGAACAGGGGGGTTTTTAGTCAGTAAGAGTCCCTCCCGCCCGGACCTGGGCGGGAGAAGTCATTTGATTTTACCCTCACAAAAAAAACAATTCAAATATACTTTTAAACTTTCGCGTTACATGTTAACAACATAATATTCAGCGGGTATAAACGCGAAAAGAAATTATTTAAATATCTTGGAAGGTTTGAAATTTCGACCAGATTGCACAGGTCGTGGTCGCAGTCAAATATGTGAACATCCTCTACACGAAGAAAACACAAACAAACCTGTTTTGAAACAAGTCGGGCTAAAGATAATTCCTTCGTCGATACCGTTACTTGAGCACTCCTTACTTATTGGGAGGATGTGAACAATTTTATGTAATTGAACCGACATTATACTGCTGAAGGTGATTCCTCTCATCGAAATATGAACTTATTCAATTATACAAAGCTGCATATCTGCAGACTGTTTAAGTTATAGGTTTCTCAAAAATATTACTTACTTTTCCACAATTATCTAAATTACCCATAATTAGTCATCAGTATAATTTTTAATTATCAATGGTATTACCGGATTTTTAACTAGCTTAAGGCTAAAAGGGAAAAAAGAAAGAGATTTTTTTTAATTTTACAGTATCATGATATTATTATCATCTATCGATTAATTTATTTTCTGTTTTGTTAAGTTGTTCATCAACAATGAGTGGGTGGACGCTGTGAGTAAGAAGACTTTCCCCACCATCAATCCTCAGGATGAGACCGTCATTGCACAAGTGGCTGAAGCAGACGAAGTGAGTGCAAATAGTTACATCCCATTCCTGACAAAATGTAGTTTGCTGTTTTGCCTATTATAGATTTTATAATGCAGATTTAATCTCAGTTTCAATATATTCAGAACATTTACACGAAAATAAGACTACCGAGGCAATGATATTACAAACAAATAATTATTTCCTTTTACAGGCTGACGTAGATTTGGCGGTAGCAGCAGCAAAACAAGCCTTCGAACGCTACTCGCCATGGCGTCTAATGGACGCCTCACGTCGAGGGCTACTCATGCTCAAGTTAGCAGAACTGATTGAATCCCAAGCTAGATATTTAGCAGAATTAGAAACTCTGGACTGTGGAAAGCCAGTGAAAGATGCTGAAGATGAAGTGTACTATGCAGCAAGTGTTTTAAGATACTATGCTGGCAAAGCTGACAAGATTTTGGGAAATACTATACCTGCAGGTATGGTGCATGGTCTTAAAATTATATCCCAAAAACAGACATAAAAAATTGTAATTTATTTGAAGAAAACGTAAGATATGTAGGTGTTCGATTCAATCAAAAGCCATCGTTAGATCCAAAAAAATTTTAGTTTTCATTATTCTACCGCAGTACCGCATCTTGTCTCTGAAATCGGTCTTACTTGTTACTTAAGAAACGTACAATATTAATTTTACTCTAAAACTAGAACAGACAAGGGCTTGCATACTTGTCATACTTATTTTCTTTACGCATACATTCTATCAATTATAATACTATGTAAATATTTACGGATCATTGTTTCTATTTTATCTCAGCTAGACAGTGAGATAATTTCATTGACGTCTATTGTCACGGTTTTATGAACTCATTAGAGCGTGATTATTATGACATTGTAATATGTTGAATGTTCGACAAAAACTACGCTGCTGTTCACTTACGATTCGTATATAATAATACTGGGTATACGAGGTTCTCTTGACATATAATTTAGTTGATGAAAATGTTAAAAAGTATCTAAGATCTATGATTTTATGAATCAAAATGCCTCAATTCTCGTCTGAGCCTTTTTAGATCTAGTCAAATACTAAAATCAAATTAAACAGCCTCCCTTTATTATTGTAATTTATATTTTATTAGCAACCCGACGAGCTTCGCATGTTAGCAATGCTGGTACAAAACTACTCCACTCTTTTAATGGATGTTATTATGCATGTACATTTTCCCTTAAATCACTCTACCTATTAAAAAAGCACATCAAAGTCCG